AACACTCAGAAGCGATCGACGTTTCTAGAAGAAAGGCATTGGGAGTTAGAAGAGGTCATAAAGCAGCACAGAGCAGTTAAGTCAGCGATGGAGAACCAACGATAACGAATTCTAGGGATGTCACATCCATGTAACTTGTGACCGTCAATACGGAGTGCATTTCAAACATCAACGCGATCATCCAATTTGCTGAATTCTCAGCTCACCATCTGCTGAAGTAGATGGACGTGAAGTTCTAAAGTACTCTGAAAATCATGACGAGGCTCGCCGTAAAAGCTGAAAAAAAACATTTCAGATGAGACGCGCTAGAACGTACTTTGCGAAATATGAAAAAGGAGTTGTGAGCCAATTTGGCATCCCATTTTTGAATTGCATTTCTTTAAGTTTGAGACGAGCAGAACATCTGTCAAATTTTCAGTGATCGCTCATCAAAGACAACAAACACACTTAGAGGTTTCGTCCATCCATGCAACGTTCTTAATCACTTCTGCGAACGACGTTTTCAATGATTCAACCTGGAGCACACAATCGCAATGGTTTGTTCCTCCAGAGGGATTGTTCTAAAGCGGAAGCTGTCCTGGCCAGCTGGTGATTACTTCAAAGGCACTGGATGAGTCGATTAATGGTTACTATCAACTCACAATTTCCTCAGCAATTAATCTGCGTTGTTCAACCGATTTGGCGGCGTTCACAAACCGACGGCTCAGAACCTGCAACTCTTGGGTGACGAAGACTCTCTCAGGACACACGTACCCATCCGAGATTCTCTGATGCCAAACCAACGCAGGTTTTCCAGCGTGCCTTTGGCGACACACCAATCTTCTGTTGGAATCTCGTGAAGAGCTCTCGATACTCCGTAGGCAAAACATTAGCGACACTGGGGACAACAATAGAACGATCAATAACCAAAAATATTTAAGCGCTTCGAGGTTCACCTTCTGATCGTTCTTAGAAGTAAATAATCTTGAATTGCTCCCCACGACCATTTCTCCCCGATGAGGAGTGGCAGTTGCTTCAGTAAGGAAACGTTATCGATGATGACTTCAGTCATGTTGGATGTTTGATGATCAATCAGCGCAAGAAATGGCTGCAAAACGACATTCATGTCCAAAGTGTCTTTGAACAAAGTCTGGAGCTCCTGAGGGAAAAATTGAGTGAAAATTGTGGAACACGAATATAAAGTGAAAATTGAGGAACGAATGAAGTGAAAATTTCGTTGCAATAAAGACTCCGAATGGGCTCTTGTTTGGAACGAATAATAGAGTCGTGATATACAGAAGACTTACAATTAATGTTATTCGGTGAGACGTTGATCGGAAATCGCGGTGTTGTTCCGGCGTTAATGTAACGCGCTTGATGTCTTTCTCGATTTCGAGAACAGCAATTGCACGCGTTCGTGTCACACTCCTTAACAGTTCTAATTGATGCGCTTGAGCTTGGATCAAATCAGTCGTAAATGTTATGAGTAGATCTGTGAGATGGTCGATGTAGGCGTCGATTGTGTCACTTTGCTCATACTGGTGGAATTGTAAAGAGAGTCCATCATTCATTAAGTGGAAAGAGACACGCGCTTCGGCGTCGAAGATATCGGGAGCCCCGGAGAGCGTTGGGAAAAAAGTTGCAACGCCGAAGGCATGCGTGACGGATGCGATTCGAGAAGAGAGAAGGAGTTTCTTCTCTTCCGCTGTAAAACGCGATTCTTCCAACGCGCGTTTGGGACTCTTCGCATGACTCAATAGAAAAGGAGTTTTTGATTTCATCAAGTGGATCAGAGTTGAAATGTTGGAATCTTCACTCACACATCCCTCGTAATAGCAGCTGAGCATGTTGTCGTAGCCATCCTCAATATCCTCAGAATGGGATTTGCATTTCGTTTCCTCGAGCAATTTACGCAGTTGATATTTGGTTTCATTTTTCACCGGAGAAAAAACTCGGAGACCACTCATTTTCATCATAAGGGATTTCAAACGATCGAATCCAACTGCCACACCCGAACAAATACGGGTTCTAATACATACAAGGACACAAGGACAATTCATACAAGGACACAAGGACACAAGGACAATACATACAAGGACGAAAGGACAATTCATACAAGGACACAAGGACAAATCCATACAAGGACAAATTCATACAAGGACACAAGGACAATCCATAGGACAATCCATACAAGACAATACGTGTGGGGAAATGGACGGATCCTTACGTCGCAAGGTTGAACTCCATGGTCGATAAATGAATTGATCAAATTTGAAAATAGATTGCATTGTGGAGTCGCACATAACGGTGAGGAGTTGATCGAAGGGAGTTCAAAAATGAGAAAGATGTTCAAAGGAAGAACTTTCATATATGTCAAAACTAATACCCAAAAATGGATTTGAGGGTTGCTTGACACAGCAAAACAGAAGAAAAAATATTGTATTCAGCAAGAAAAATTGTTGCTGAGATTATTTAATGGATGAGAACAATTTCGATGATTTTCTTCCCTTAGCAAGACGATCACGATGCAGTTGAGCTGTTTGTGCCAACGCCGCATGAGCTTCAGTGATGCGGGAAATATAAGCAACTGGTAACAAGTAGCAATCTCCAGACTCTTCATATCCGACCTAGAAACAACCAGAATATACAAAATGAACTGCTCCCATCACTCATTTGCACTAATTTAATTGAATTGTTGTCCCTTACAGCCTCAAGTACAAGAAGTCCCGACTTAAATTGTCCCGCGCGTTTTTGAAAATTTGCATTGCTCTTGCGAATAATACGCTTCGCTTCATCAAATGGATTGCAAAGAATGGTCTCCATCAATTTCAATAAAGATCGCAAAGTATCAGGGAGGGAATCAGGTGGAATCTGGAAGCAACAATGAGGTCAAATTGAGCAAATAGAAATCATAAATTTAACAATTGAAAGGCTTGCGGAAGCACTTCAGAGAACACCGTCAAACTTTCTGATCCTACTGACGAAACGCTTACTTCGCCCTCAAGTTTCCATATTGCAGCGATGACGTCACAAGGAAACAAATCCGATTCAGGGACGGTGAATTGCACTGAAGCGAGAAAAGGATAGAAGAAGAGGAGAAGGCTGTAGGAATACCTGTATTCAATTCCAAGACAAACGGATCTGATAGACCATGTTGCAATGCGTCCACCAACCGCTTCGGCAATCCAAGTCCGCTCCATTCTTCAGTCTTAAGATGGCGCAACGCTGCAATTGAGTCAAACCAATTGTCTTTAACAATCCTGTACAAACAATAAAGAAGTAAAAAGAAACAAACAATAAAAAGATCATTTTAGAAGAAGCCCTTACTTTTGGATGATTGGTTGCATTTCAGCCTCAGATTTCCCGACCGACAAACCAACTTTTAGAAGGTACCGATTCACATCCATGAGTCTCTTTTCCCTCGATTCTTTATCAGTAACAATTCTGGGATCCGGCATATGCTGACTGCGGGAGAAGAATGTGTCAAATCGTTTGGGATCCGGAGAACTCTGTTGTCGTCCAGTCATGTGAGGTGATTGACCGCTGTCTGCAAGAATCTTCTGAATTTGTTCCAACAGCCGAAGAGGAAGTCGCAAGTTTGACCAATCTGTTTCAGCCACACGTTGTAACGAAGCTGAAAAACAAATAGTTGATATTTTTGAAAACTCACACTGTTGCAGTCCAATAAAGCGAACAATTGCTCAATAGATCAGCGTTACGCAGTTGCCCCATCAAATTGATGAATGATTAAAGATTAAAATTAAAATCGTACCTGCAGATCGGAATCCATGTTCGCGCAGCCGTTGAATCGCCATGTCTAATTGAGGACCTGTTCGATTCATCGCCTGACCAGCTTGCATCACAATTCGTTCAAGAGAGTCGCTAGATTGAAGTTGCTCTTCCGCCAACGCCCCGGGAAGAAGAGAAACCAATCCGACTGGAAGTTCAAGCACTTCCCACTGCGATGGCGTCAAAGCCCTCAGCTGCTCCAAACGGTCGAACCAATTATCTCCAACAAGGCATTGGACTGCGGCTGTGCACTCAGCTTGAGACCTTCCGTAGCGCAGGCAGACTTCTCGGAGAAATTGCTCCACTTCATTTTGTTCAGAAGTCACTTCAACGGACGACGAAGACGAGTGAAGGGGAGAGGGCAGTTTTGTTGGCGTTTTTGAGGGTTGTCCCCAATTGCTGTTGTTCCTGTTGTTGGCGCAATTGCTGTTGGGACATTCCGGGATTGAAAGGGTTTGGAAACGACGTATTTCGAACATAATTTCCATGAATATCTGTCGAAGGAGAGCGAGCGAAGTGCACGTGAGACGTTGGCGTGAAGGACGATTGGGGGAAGGACGTTGGCGCGAAGTGCGTTGCTTCGATCTGGCTGACCACACTCTCAACGCCAAGCACTCGCTTTGATGCTCCAGAAACGGAGGAGTTCGCAATGATCGAGGCAGCATCTGGTAAGTATTGTCCGCAATGAACGGACCATTTGTCTTGGGACATTCATTCGTGACCAGTCGTCGTCAGACAATCCCTGGAGATGGACAATTTCCTCTAGCCAGTTTTTGCAGACTAATCGTTCCAAAACAGGGAAAAGCTCCTCTTCAGATTTATTTAGCGTCTTTCCAACAGCAATGACATAGCGCTTGACGTCACACTCTGGAATCCGAATTTCTGGTGTGCGGCATTGTGCGGCATTGAGTCGGCTGTTCTTCTGAGAAATCGCTACCATCTGCAGGCTGTGGAGTGTGACGCGAATTTCCGTTAACGCTTTCTGTTCCTGTCGTCACCAATCTGTCCAGATTGTCTTTAACATCGGGAAAATGAGCCTCTTCACTCCCAGCAGATTCGCCGGGAGAATAATCCGTCAGAACTGTCGCACCTAGTGGACAGCGGTCACTGAGCAGGGGTGGTTGTTGATCAAGAAATTGAGGAAGGTAATCCATGAGGTCAAAAATGATTTAATTTTAATCGAAAAAACTTCTTCGGAACGGACAACGGAAAAAAGAATTGGTCCTGATCCTTCACCAGGTTGATGGAATGCTTGTCTGTTCTTTGCGTGCAACGAATTTTTTGAAAATGAGAGGACGCACAGTGGAAGTGGTACTTGAATGTGAACTATTGCCTTTTTCGTTTTGGACTGGCCTTTTTAGTTGAGGCTTTCGCCTTGGCTTTGCGCTTTGGGGCGGAGCTTGTTCTTTTTGCCGTTCCTGGAAACAGGAAAAAAAATCATCTGCCATTCGATCTGAGCAAAATACCTTTTTCTTCTTTGCCAAAAATAATCGATCGAGGTAAGCTTCTCCATCTTCTTCTTCTTTCTGTTCTTCTTCTTTCTGTTCTTCTTCTTCTGCCTCTTCTTTGATTGGAGCCGTTGCATCCTCGCCACCGTCATCTTCTGTTTCTTTGGATGGTCCTTTAGCTTTCTTTTTCACTGAGAATGTCGGTGGCGCCATTCGTATTGAATGGGTAGATGCGTTATACAGCGTCGTTAGGGACCGTTTTAAAGAGCTATCAATCAGATCATAAAATCTTATCCTAAAGCAAACAATTTTAATGAATTTCTTTAGATGAGATCAGAAAATTGCTTCTATTTGGATTTTCTTTGCACTCACTTGTCGTTTCAGTCGTAAACTTCCAAGATTTTCAACAACTTGATCTCTCGTTAATCCGCATGCATCAATTAGTTTCATACATTCTTGCGCTTGCTCTTTAGGATCTTGGGCCTTTGAATCATTTAATGGTGCCAAGATCTGAGAATAATCGTACTTAAAAAAATAATGAATAAGATTTGTATCGTACCTTTTCATAAAGCAAATCCAAATACCCACTGGTTCTCATTTGCACTGGTGTGGTTGTTGTGGATGGAGCCAAATAAAGCTGCAATTCATTCAACAAACGTCTGTTCTTTGTTGTTGTTGAATTGCGTCCCAGCCATTTCGGAAACTCAGGGCGAGCAATGAACCCGGCAGCCTAACCACATGTATATGCATGTATATATATAGATATACGGATGGACTATCACATATATATACATGTATATATAGAGATCTACAGATGGCATATTGTGATATCGTGCCATCCTAGCGGCCATGATATCCCGAGCTTGAACATACCTGACAGGCCGGAACTACAGCCGTAAACAATCCTACATCGCCAAGCAGACTCCATTGTCCCTCTCGTCGTACTTTCGAGTTCAACAAATCTCCCAAAGTTAAACAATCTGCCACTCCAGCCAAAACGTCTGATGCGCGAACTTCATCTTCAGGTGATGAAAATGTTGATCCGTATAGATAAGCAGAAATGTAATTCTCCTGCATGTAGAGTGGCATGATATCGTAATCAACGAAATAAAGATCCAGTTTTTCATTGAAAGATGTATTCTTGATATCATTTTTCGTCAATAACCTCCGCGCAGTATCAAATGGATTTGCCATCACCTGAGAACAGAGATCAGTCTCTACAATTATCGGTCTATATATCATCAATTATCGGTCTATATATCATCAATTATCGGTCTATATATCATCATTATCGGATCAATTATCACTAGCAACTGATAACCCCGTTCTGCTAAAATGCCCTCAAACTAAAAACGCTGACCAGTACCGATGGTAACACACTATTGACGCACTTGACTGTCTTTTAATCCATATCCAATTTCTTTCCTCATCGAATCGAAAGACACGTTCGTATTCGAGTCATCCGTCCCAATCAGTTGCAATGTATTCAATATTTGACGAAGATCGTTCTCCAACTCGTTCGCATAAAAGTTCTGCAGCATTGTATTCGACATTTAATCCTTCTCTGAACAAAAAGGAATCCATAACATAAAAAGACTCGATAAAATGAGACACAATCCACGACATGAAAAAGACTCGATGAAATGAGACACAATCCACAACACACAGAGACAGAGCTGCCCTTAGATATTCTGGGCCGCACGTGAGACACATTGACGACTTACTTTTGAGCAATTTCGAGAATGCGTTTCGCAATGAGATTCTTTGGAGGTTTGTTAAATCGGAGATCGTAACATTTGGATACTAATGTTCGTAACTGGAAGTAAAGAAAGATAAAGATTTCCTCATGAGAAATATAAGCAGATACAACATTGTAGGATTGTAGGATTGTATTCATTGTAGGATTGTATTCATTGTAGGATTGTATTTATTGTATGATTGTAGTTATTGTAGGATTGTATTCATTGTAGGATTGTAGGATTGTATTCATTGTAGGATTGTAGGATTGTATTCATTGTAGGATTGTAGGATTGTATTCATTGTAGGATTGTAGGATTGTATTCATTGTAGGATTGTATTTATTGTATGATTGTAGTTATTGTAGGATTGTATTCATTGTAGGATTGTAGGATTGTATTCATTGTAGGCTTGTAGTTATTGTAGGATTGTATTCATTGTTGTACCTTGGGATGCATTCTGTCATTACAGATACATATAATGGGACAATGGGCCTTCTCTATCAATTTCATCAACGCTTGAACTCCCCCTCGATCACTAGCTCCTGCTAAGCCATCCATTTCGTCCATAATCAAAACGGCCTGTTTCGGTGACTGATTGCTTAGATATGTTGATAGAGTCATCCCCCCCACTTGTCATATCGTTCAACACTACAAAGCACAGAGTCTACATTGGAAGAGTTTCGAAGCCATACCTTCAACGATCGCCTTCCCTCGGTCGTCAGACGCGTTAAACTCAATGATTTCATAACCACAACTCTCCGCAGCAACCCTCGCAGCGGTTGTTTTTCCAACTCCAGGTGGTCCACTCAGAATTGCAGCCCGTGCATTTATCTATCCAAAGAAATTGACAGATACATTGACAGATATATTCGATTGACAGATATATTCGATTGACAGATATATTCGATTGACAGATATATTCGATTGACAGATATATTCGATTGACAGATATATTCGATTGACAGATATATTCGATAATCGAGTGGCACATATATCTAGTAATCAATCACATACACGTTCTGGTTCCCCTCCTCTACTTTTTGGTGGCTCCTTCGTTTTTCCCAGAATACAAACATCATGCCAATCTTTCAGCCACGCAAATAACTTCTTCACAACCTCTCCATTTCCCAAAATATCTCCAATTCTTTCGGGTCTCCATTTCTCCGCCCAGAGCTTCTCCCCTGCGTCTTTCCTTTGGCGGGTCGCCTTCTTCGGTTGTTGACTTCCGTTCTGCGTGTCAATTTGAATGATGACCTCAGGCGTTTTTTCACCATTAAACTTCTTCTCGACTGGATATTTTTCTAGAAATTCGACTTCCGTCAAAATGTCAACATCGTGGGGTTTCGTTGGCTTCCCATCAATCTTGACTCCATCTTTCAGTCCCACAGCTGTTCTATACTTTGCTCCCAGCTCGAATGATCTCCCGTCTTCCAATACAGAACCGTGAATCAAAATGTTTGTCCTTCCACTAACGCCGGACATCACTTGCCCTCCCATCTGGCAACAAACACTCCACGATGATTAAAATTATCACAAAAAAAAAGACTTTGATCATGCTGTAGCAATCACCACTTACACGTTTAATGTGAAGCTCCAATTCTGATCGATCAATCGTGTCAAGAACTCCCGTAATGGACGATCTTCATGCCTTCTAGTGGCAGGCTAGGGCTTCTCGCAGCAGCAGCCGCCTTTGCTTTTGCCTTTGCCTTGGGACTTCCCCTCACTTTCTTGGGACTTGCTCCAGTGCTTGGCTTATCAGTTGAAGGTGTCGCTCTTTTCGATGGACTGTCAGCATCTTTCCGTTTCTTCATTGGAGGCTCTTCTTCATCTGAAGATGCTGCAAGTCGTAAACGTCTTTTTCTTGGTCGAGAACTTTCTTCATCCTCCTGATGCATTGGAGTGGAATCTGATCGACGGGCGCGCTTGTGCAAGGGCTTCCTGAACAAAAAATTCTGTCAATTCTGAGAACAAATTTACATGAAATCTGTCAATATAAACAAAACCAACAACACTGTTAGACACGTATGTACACTCCTTTGAACACTGTTGTTGCACAATTTCTCTATTGTGTCACATACGGCGAATCTTCTTCGTTTTTCTCGTCTAAATTGGATGCCTTTTGCGATACTGAGGCATGAGATCAGAATGGAGTGTACCCATAGAGACTCAACCAACCTGATGGAGACTTGGTCGCTGATGTTGGAGTTGTTGGTGGTAGAGACTTTTTTGTTAACCATCCATCCAACACCCCCAGAAAACACGTTTGTGCTTCGGATCCATCAAACTGAATATAAAATAGAGAAGTCCAATTCGATGGATATAAAATAGATAAGTCCCAATTTGATGGATATAAAATAGATAACTTGAAGACTAGACCATGACAAGGTTTTCTGTTTTCGTTCTGGACATTAAAAAACAACAATGAACTATTTCTTATTGTTTATAAATGGATAGAAGGCAACACCGTCTGGTCGAGCTTCTTTAACATTCACTCCAAATGTTGATTGAACTGATATTCCATCTTGTGTCGTCATTGAGATCTTTAATTCATCATTCACATTGAAGGGTCCCACTCCAACGGGAGTCCCTGATTACGAGGATACCCAGATGGTTGAATGGTGAAGATCATTGAGGGGAAGTGTGACGCGAGAATCATATTTAATGCAAGATTGAGAATAATATTTGAGAATAATATTTGAGAATAATATTTGAGGATAATATTCATTTGTGCGCTATTTGTTGTTTATTCTAATTTGTATAAGAAGTCGATTTATTGAGTCGACTGTGTTTCATCTTACCAGTAAGAACGACGTCGCCTGGTCGAAGAACAATTAAAGAACTTAAATAAGAAATTAATTCAGGGATCTGCAGAAATTGAAAATGATGATTAGAAATAAACATCATGACGATAAATGAATGACAATGAGTTATCTTTTTATAAATGACAATGAGTTATCTTTTTATAAATGACAATGAGTTATCTTTTTATAAATGACAATGAGTTATCTTTTTATAAATGTCGATGAGATGACGATGAGTTATCTATTTATAAATGACGATGAGTTATCTTTTTATGAATGACCTTAAATATCATATCTGTGGTATTTCCACATTGTTTGGTTTCTCCATTCTTCCATAATTCAAGCTCTACAATTGAACTTGATCACTTGACAAACATTTCTTACTAATGTTATTTAATTCCTCTGCAGAATGAAGTTTCACCAAATCGGGACACATCGGGCAGAACGTTTGAAGCCCTTTAGACAAAGTCCATGAAAGTTGTTTCGACTTCTCATTTTCTTGAACCTCGCGTGCAGTAACGTCCAGTGCAACCGTCACACCTGTTTTGAATCAATGGCAAGCAATGACGCTCTAGAAATACATGCAATGACCCTCTAGGAATACATGCAATGACGCTAAAAATACATGCACGATGACACTATGGACTATTATGAACAAATTGGAAACATCTATTCCCATTTCAGACATTCGTATCTAAGGTACTCCATCTTCTGAAATACACGGTCTTTCTTGATTTTATGGGTGGCGCACTCAAGTTCTTATCAAGTGTTCTCACCAGCAATATGTTCTAGAACTTCGTTGACAGGAACATTGGTTGTTAGCTTCCCAATAATCACCGCGATTTCGGTCTCATAATGAACTGATCCTGAAATGATTTGAAAATAAAAAATTCTGTCAAGCGACTCACCAATATCTAATGGAAGCTTGATTGACTCTGGAGGGAAAATGATGCTGGAGGGCGATTTAAAAAAAAAGTTTGGTCGTGTTGGAATTGCGCTGTTCAATTCTTTGCAATGATCAATAAAATTTCGTGCCACACAAAATAACTTGCGGCGAACTCCCGTGATTCGAACAGAGTGTGACGACCCCCTGTGGAAGAACTGATGCCAACAGTTTGCTTGGTGCCATTCTGAGACTTTCTGGAATTTGGGTTCCGTCAAGATGAGACGTGGAATAGGTCTCCAATAGTCTAGTTGAAAAAAGCTATTTCACAGAGATAAACGAGATTTCTATTTCTGTAAAAAGAGTGTCGATTTTCGTAATGCTACAAAATTCCTCTCGCTCGATCGCAAGCACTGAGTTGTAATTCTTGGAATGATGGAAGGATCACTACAGCAAAGATTAAGAAGAAGGTTCTCCAAAAGATCTGAAAACATCACAAGAATAAGAATAATAAACATCAATAAGAATAATAAACATCAATAAGAATAATAAACATCAATAAGAATAATAAACATCAATAAGAATAATAAACATCAATAAGATAAACATCAATAAGATCGTGCGTATCACCTTTGTCAGTTGCGGCCAGCTGGTCTTTAATTTGAAGAAACGTTTCCCATCCGCCTAAACGTTTAGCGATACTTCGATCTTCCTGAAAAAGTCGAAAAGAGTATTTATATCTAATTGATATAAACGGACTTCTAATGAATTCTTGTACGTGATGGTAAGGGAAGAGCGATCCAGATCTGTAGAAAACAATGAATCATTGGGACTTGATCAAAATTGGGACTTACATTTGACTCTTTTACTAGAGGGATCCTCAGGAATCGCATTTGTCACCACTACATGCTTTCGCTTTCTACAAAACAAAAATGATTGATTTGAGAAACATCATAACGATTATTGAACAAATAGATGACAATGAACGTTCAAAACAGATAAAATCCTGAACATAGATGAATCAGGATGAATAAAAACCCTGTAAAACATCATCCACAGTAACAATTATTGAACTCAAAGCCATATTTTGAATACCGATGCTGTCTTTGTGGACTGAAGGGGCTAACGTAATGTTTCAATGATTCAGCGTCTCCCGTTCTGAGAACTCCGACTCTCTGAAATGATAAATAAATTGAAATGATAAATAAATTGAAATGATAAATACATTGAAATGATAAATATATTGAGATGATAAATATGTTGAGATACGTGTGATAAGAGTCGATAATTCAAACATACTCGAGCGATGTCATCTTGAACTATTTCATCGAGAACGGCGACTGGCGGAACCCCCCAAGCCAGATTCGCTAATTTGAGGAATTCCTGGCGAAGATCGTCATCCGATCTATCGGTTCGTGATTGTCCCTGATCTCTCTCTTGGCTGTCGACTGTTCTGCTCTTCGGTGACGCAGAATTGAAATTGTCAATGCCTGGCGTATCAGCGATTATTTCAGATTCATGCAATCTATCAAGAAGCTCTTGTGAAATGGTTTCCCCTTGAAGAGACAAAGTCGGTGAAGATAAACTTGGCAGAGAAGCTGAGTGTTCGAGATCGCTAGGGGCTTTCATTCGACGTCGAATGTCCATCAAGGGACTCTTCTAAACCAGAGGGCCTTTCGTCAGAGTCACTACTCGACAGAATCTGCTGCTCGTCTTCTTCGTCGTCTTCTTCGTCCTCTTCTTCGTCCTCTTCTTCGTCCTCTTCTTCGTCCTCTTCTTCGTCCTCTTCTTCGTCCTCTTCTTTCTGTTGTCCGTCTTCTTCTTCACGACTTTCAGCCCATCCGCTATTTTCTTCATTCCTCTTTGAACGTTCGATCTCGCTGGTTTCATTTTCAGGATGGATTTCTATTTCCAAGGATCCATTAGACCGTCCCATACACTCATCCTCATCACTCCCATCTTCACTCCCATCTTCACTCCTATCTTCACTCCTATCCTCACTGCCTTCTTCGTCATCTTCATTATACATTCCTCCAGATGTAGCATCGCTACCAATCACATCACTCTTCTCCTCCTCATTTTCTTCTATTGTTTCTGGTTTTCTACTTGACGAACCTTCATGCTCAATCACTTCCTCCCTTTCATCTTCATTAGTATCCAGCTCGATTGAATCCAGCAGGCCCATAGCACACGCCTCTCTGGTATTACAGATTACCATACCTGAATTTGATACTCATCATGGGGTCACTCTGAATTTGAAACCTGATAGCCATCGTCCTCAATTAACGTATTGGTGCTTCTCATGGTGTCACGGTGCTTCTCATGGTGTCACGGTGCTTCCATGGTGTCACGGTGCTTCTCATGGTGTCACGGTGCTTCTCATGGTGTCACGGTGCTTCTCATGGTGTCACGGTGCTTCTCATGGTGTCACGGTGCTTCGTCACGGTGCTGCTCATGGTGTCACGGTTATCTCTTTC